GGTACATTTTTGCTTTTCTTATTTCCTATAAATTCTTGTTCATGACTCATGTATTCACTTGGTTCCTGGAAAATGAAATGAAGTACAACTGTTGAGTATGATTTTAATGCTCAAGGAAACTGCTTTAGACTTCTTCCTCTCTTTTCCCTCCTATTTTTCATGAACTATAGTGATGCCTTGGCAAACAATCTTGGTTAAAATTGAAATTTGTTTATTTGTACAGGGCTATGAGCCATTTGTTTCATATCAAGGTCTTGAGCAGTTGCACCGCTTCATCTTTGTCATGGCAATAACACATATATCCTACAGTTGCTTAACGATGTTGTTGGCAATAGTGAAGGTTAGAATTTTCTTCACATTTCTACTTCTTCTTCTTCATCCAGATCTTATTAGGTACAGTGGTGAAACCTACCATTTATCATTGAATTATTTTTCTTCTGGATAACGGATACAGCAACTTTGAGCAACTTACTAATAATAAGCCATCTGTATATCTTCTGGTGGCCTTTATGACCTTACCATTTTCCCTGAGTAAGAACATGTCTACTCATTCCCATTGAAAGAACTCTAAAACAAATGGGTTAGTCTTCTTTATTGAAGTAAGGGCAGAAAAATAAATTTCAACTATAAATTCTGGAAATTAAAATCAATGAAATAAAATTCTTTGACTTAAGGTGTACATTTTTTAAGTTGCTTTCACACTATTAGTTCAAGAATAGATAAGTTATGACTGCTATTACCTCGAAGAAGGCTTGGATTCTTTGTTCTAGCTGTAATTAGCACCTGTAGCCACAACCTTAGGTGTGAATCTAGAGTTTCGTTTCACAGGCCTTGTACTTTTCTATATATATATATACACACAGGCACATCTATATCAGCCTTTGTCTCTTCAATTCTATCTAGTTTAAGTGAAGTTCAATTCTATCTAATTTAAGTGAAGTTCATTGATCTTTAATTATTACTTCCATCTAGTGTACTGATATGTTATGTGTATGACGATAGTGGGTATTTACTGAAAGAGAAGATGAGAATATAACATTGCATTGCAATTTTTCCTGGATTACTATTTGACATTGTAATATTGTGACCAGATTCACAGCTGGAGAGCATGGGAGGATGAGGCTCACATGGACCGGCATGGTTCATTGACTGGTAAACTCTGATGTGGCATTGATTAGAATTATGCATAGATCAGATTATTGGTCCCCACTTGTATGAGCCATGTGATGTAGATTTTTAAGTTACCTGTGAGATGACTGTAGATATACTCTGTAACAGAAATCACACGCCAGTTGACAATGCGAAGGCAGTCTAGCTTTGTAAATCCACCAAATCCTGTGGTCAGGAATAACTTCTTCATGTGGGTGGTAGGTGCAACTCTATTTTTGTTACTTAAATTACGTAGGTACCTCCATTCTTCTTTATGTTGTTTTAAATTACAAAGCTTAAAGGGCTAAAACGCAGTTTAATTTTGCTGTGGAACGTACTTTAGATCGTCATAGACTCCACTAGTTATTATTGAGTTTTCTTTGTGTGTTTCTTGCTATTAGGAAATAGCTGCTTTAATTCAAGGCTTTTTATAGTTGAATGCTTTGTCATACAGACATGTTTCTTCCGGCAATTTGGGCGTTCAGTGGTTTGTGCTGACTACTTAACACTCCGCAAGGGTTTCATCATGGTATCGAGTATTTTCATTCATCAGAAGAGTAGAATGAGTCTTCCACATTTTGTTTTTTCTTTTATTTATTTTTTACTCAGTATAATATTATGTATTAGCCCTTAATGATATGGTTTTCACTATTACGCCTTCAAATTTGCTAGTGTCGATTACTTCATGTTTACATAGATATGCCTGGTAACTGAGCTTCTGTATTATTTCAATAATTTTTTTTTATTCCTTCAGTGATCTCTTAGTTTTTTGGTAGAAATTGTCTAGATGTTGTATGCTCTGAGATTGGTTCCTCTTCTTGTTTCCACCTATTATATGTATGTTCCGGTAATTTAACATTATAAGTACGTTGCCGATAATGTGTTAGTAATGCCAATTTTAACTCCTGTTGAATGAATTTTTACTCCTTTCTGTTATTCATGGCAGAATCACAACCTTTCACCAAAATATGATTTTCACAGCTATATGATTCGGTCTATGGAAGAGGAATTCCAAAGGATTGTTGGTGTGAGGTAAGAAGTTAATTTCTTCAATTAAGAATGGAAATAGTAAATGAGCAGTATTTTTGGTTACCATGACCATAACTATGTATTGTTTGTATTTGCGCACATACAGTGGTGTCGTCTCTCTTATTAGTTGTCGTTTAATACTATGCAATTATATTTCGCAAACGGGATAACCATTAATGTTAGGCATGAATGTGTGCTGAAAGTCCTTATTGGATGTTATTGCTGGTTTGGATAGTTGAATTCCACTGAGAATCAATAGCTAAAATGCCTCTTCTTTAATCAATTGCAGTGGCCCTCTCTGGGGATTTGTTGTTGCTTTCATGCTGTTTAATATAAAAGGTACGAGATAGAACCGAAAATGAAATGCGTGAAATGGGTACTTGTTCATTCTAGCATGAATATGCTACAAAACAAAGGGATTTTTTAATGTAAATATTCACTCTCAAAAGGATATTGAGGTTTCATCACCTTTTAAATGATAATTATAGCTTGTTTGTTTCATTATTTTGTCATTCTAACTGCCAGTTGGTGCATGATAAGATGATTGTTGGTCTTAAAAACTCTCAAATGTGACTGCTTTCTGTAACCTATTACAGGGTCTAATCTCTATTTCTGGATTGCAATCATCCCAATTGCTGTAAGTGTAGATTTTAATTTTCTCTCATTCGGTTTTAGTTTTCACCTATTTACTAAAAATGAATGATCTCTAAGATACTAGCAAAAATTTGCATTGTCAAACAGACGCTTGTTTTACACACATCACACCTCTTCCTTAGATTGGTTATGACATTTGGGGGAGGGGATCTGAACTTGTGACCTTCTCTTTTGAGGAGAAGTATAACTACCAATGGACTATGACTGCAAAAGAAAAGAAACACATCACACATAAAGATGTTATATCCAGAGAGTGGAGCTATAAGAGTAGTAAATTTTCTGTAAATAAACTTGTCTCAAATCTGTTACACAGTCGTGTGTTTCTAATGTTACTTTAATTTGATTGTCTGTTCATGTGCAGCTAGTTCTTCTTGTGGGAATGAAGCTGCAGCATGTTATTGCAACCCTGGCATTGGAGAATGCTGGTATAACTGGATCCTACCCAGGAGCAAAGTTGAGGCCTCGGGATGATCTTTTCTGGTTCAAGAAGCCTGAACTTTTGTTATCCTTGATCCATTTTAGTTTGTTCCAGGTTTGCAATGGTTATCGTGATGCCGGGCATGCCTTGTTTTATTGTATCATTATGTTCTTTAATGACTTGTATCACATATCACAATGCTAGAACTAATATACCTTTGTTTTTCTTTTCTTTATTTTATCTATTCCGATTTTGCAGAATGCATTTGAATTGGCTTCATTCTTTTGGTTTTGGGTAATTCCTTTTCCATGACTAGATTGGTGCTCATTGTGGAGTCTTGGAAGTTGGAAACAACTTATTCAATCATTTAAGGCCAACAAAAATTTATTTGAAACAGTGTAGGATCATTTAAGATTAACAAAATCTCTTGGTTATTTGATTACAGTGGCAATTTGGGTATAATTCTTGCTTTATCCGAAATCATTTGCTCGTCTATTTAAGGCTGATTGTAGGGTAAGCAAACAATTTTACTGGTTATGACACTCTTCACTGTTGTCAATCATGGGTCTTATATTACTGTCAATTATCTTATAGGTTTGCCGGGCAGTTCCTGTGCAGCTACAGCACCTTGCCGCTGTATGCCTTGGTTACTCAGGTACAAGCAGATATACATATATTATGCATAAAAAAATACAGAGTCGTTTTCGAACAATATTTATATTTTACATTTATTTTTAGATGGGAACAAATTATAAGGCGGCACTAATTCCACAAAGGATAAGAGAAACAATTCATGGGTGGGGAAAGGCAGCTAGGAGGAAAAGAAGGCTGGGCATATACAATGATGAGTCAACGATACACACAGACACAAGCACAGTAATGTCACTTGAGGAAGATGATCATGAAATGCTCGATAATCCTGCAATTGATGCTGATACACAAAATGGAATTGAGTTGCAACCAGTTTCTAGTTCTATGACCAGTCCTTGCCTAGCTGCTAATGAAAACTCAAGTAGGGTTGGTACACCCCTTCTTCGACCATCGGCTTCTGTTTCACTTTCTTCACCAGTTACGTTGACTATTCATACAGAGAGTATTCCAAGATCCACTTCAATGCCAAGCAGAAGGTAATGAAGCAATGACTACAATCATGATGAAGAAAAGCATGTGACAATGAATTTGGGATCAAATTGAATAAGAAAGTATTAGAAAAGGGAATTGTGTAGATTTTGTTTCCCTCTATGCAATCTGAAAAATACTCGAAAGGGCTATAGAGGTCATAGGATACTCGCGAGATGTAACGCGTGTGACACGATATTGCAGTAGTTAGAATGTGTACATTTCTTGTAATAGAGATATAAAGTTTAGTAAATGTCAACTCACAGATAGTACTGACTACTGATCCATGATGTGAGTTAGTTGTTTAGTTGGACGGTAACATTAATGAAGCTTGCTGTTAATGTTCAAATGTATTTGGCATTGAGGCGTCTTGCTAGTGTTACTTATTAAGCTTATGAATTGATCGAAACTACCTGTTTGGATGAATTTTCGCAAGTGTCTTTTTGATAATAGCTGTTTTCGAAAAAGGGGCAAATGTCTGCTGGATCTTATATGATGGTATGTAGTAAATTCAACTAGAAAAACATGGTAGACTGCGTAGATTTTATTAGAATAGCATGTTATTTTCTGAAGCTTTAATTGACAGGCATGAAGCTCTGAAGTTGGGAGCTTCTTTAGACTACATGAATATCTAGTTATGAAGCTCTGCAGCAGAGTGATGGTGGGCTTCATTTGCTGTCTTGGTTGATGAATCTGGTGAATCTGGTGGGGATGAACCTGGTGCTGGTGAATTTGGTGTTATAGGCTCTCCTCCACCCATCTTGGTAGGCGCCATCTGCTCATGCTGAGTGGGCTTGTTATAAGTGAGCCCATTGGGCTGGCCTGGTTGGAAACAAGCACCAGGGCACTCACAGCCCGGATTGCAACCCCCACCGCAATTGTTTCCATACCCACCAGACCCAGACCCAGTACCGGTGCCAACTCCGGACCCAAATCCACTACCACCGCTGTTTCTGTACCCTGGTCCCGAGGCCCACGGGCCATTTCCAGGCCCATATCCACCACTCCCAGTCCCAATACCAATTCCTCTGCCTTCCCCATATCCACCATCCCCAGTCCCAATACCAATTCCTCGGCCTTCTCCATATCCACCATTTCCAGAGCCTCTCCCAATGCCAATACCAGTGCCTTCACCATAACCAGAACCAGTGCCAATACCATACCCCTCCCCAATTCCTACACCATTGCCACCTGAGCCAATTCCTTTGCCAATGCCTACACCTGTCCCAGTCCCAATGCCAATACCTACACCTGAGCCAAACCCTTGACCCATTGGCTTATCTTGGCCCATCATCTTTCGATTGACCCTAGCAGGGGCCTCAGATTTAATGAACTTGTGGGCATTGCTCAAGCTAATTAAGCACAGAAACACCAGCAAACCAATGCTGCAGGCACATTTTGGTATTGCCATCTTTGTCAAATATCTTGGTTTTTGTTTGGTTCTAATTATTTTGCATGGATTTATATATACATCTAGTGAGGCTAGCTTTCTCTGAAGGTAGTTGCTTGTCGAAGACGGAGACTTGGAAAGCACCAAAAGCCCTGCACTGACGGTTTGTTAGTTGCTTAAGTCCGGAGTCATGAACCTTCTGTGAGCAGAGACTACTGCCACAACAATCTGCACGGTTTTAACATTACCAAGATCTTGTAAATACCCAAGACAAGGCATGTCAGATTACTTTGTTACAAAATATTGTACAACATGAGGTCAAGGAATGAAACTTGTTTGTGTTGACAATTTGAAAAGATTTTAGATTTTCAGATTGGTTATATCAAATGACCTAAAAGATATGACAAAATATTTTTAGAAAACAATGCTGGTAAAATTCACATATTTTTCATATATTATTGAATACAAATACTTCTCATTATACCCTATTAAATGGAGCTTGCTTCATCAAAGTAAAGATAAGCAGAAACATTATTTACTGTATTTTGGATAAGCCAAGACAACTTCTAGTAGCTCTCTCAATAGAATGAGCTTTCTTTACTACTAAATTTATCAAACGTTAAATAGCCTCCCCTTGCAACAACGGCAGACTTTCAAGTATTAAAAACAGTGATAATTTTGCATCAAAGTGAGTGGGTTGTTTCGAGTAAAACCATCCGAGCAGTTTTTAGATAAAAACTAAGGATAAAAACTAAGGAGATGAGATGAAAATCTTGCCAATGTGCGTGCATAGATCACATAAGAAATGTCAGACACTGGATAATTTGTCACCAAAATATTAGTCATTCTTGAACGTATATACCTTCCTGTGCACAGACCAATCTCTGCAACCACTTATGCATTATCATCCTCTGAAAACCAGAATTGTAATGGAAACAGCAGACAAAACAGTTTAACATAATCCTCACAATGGCCAACATGATAATGAAGCCAACTTGGGAAATCTGGAAAGCTCTAAAGTAGTTATTGCCTATAATTTATCAACAGTCAAACAACCTCGCCATTGCCTGATTCTGCCTCCATGGCCTTTAACTCTTCAGCCAACATTCGTTGCCTGTTCTGTGCTTGCCTTTCCGCAGCAACCATGTATAGGCCTAAGCACAAGTAACAAACACCATCAGCAAACTAAGGAGGTGCCAAGTATTTGAAACAAAGACAAATGCACATAAGCAACAATTATATAAAACATGGTGTTATTTATACCACAATTCATTAAGGGTACTCACCTGTTAAAAAAATAATCAGTTTAGAGGATAGAATCTAGTTATTATTGGGTTATCTATTTCCCATCCAATCCAATTGAGAATTACAAAAGGCAACTAAAATTTGTTGGATTGAATTGAATCCATGTGTTTGGTTTGAAATTTGAGCAACCCTACATCTTAGTTCACAAACGGATGTAGCCGCACACCATGCCTCGCTAAACTCAGAGAGGTAAGATATTCTGTTTATGTGTGGAATATATACTATTAGTGCTTCAGTAAGTAAGCCAAAAGTATTGTAAAACTTAGAGAAGACCAAGCATTTTCCTTATGAAACATTGACTTGGAAATTAAGTATGCTATTTGAATCAAGAACCTATGAAAGAAAAGGTCAAGAACTCATACCGGCAGCACTTCCAATTGCACAGGCCCATAGAATCCTCATGGACCATCTATCCCCAATAACTCCTCTGGCTCCCATACCTTTGTGCCAAACCCAATTAGACTGCTTTAGCATGACAACATATTGGATACTAAACCTCATTGCTTATTGGATAATCTAATACAAGAAACTTCAAATGCAAAAGTTCCTGATTAACATCAAGTTTCAACATTATCATACAATTTGAAGCTCAGTGACCAAAGAGGCAACAATCTTAGCAACTATTCCTTAATTCATATGCTCATTCATTATAGACTACCAAAGGAGTAGTGCACTAGACAGCAGCTGATCTTACAATTGGTTATGATTCAGTTGTATGCATAGTTGGCTAATATGGTTGGAGTTGGACCCTATACTTTATCTTGGGTGCTATTGCTGGAGTGATGGGCACACGCTTCTCGGTACTAATTCGTATTGAATTAGAAAGACCGGTTGAAAATTTCCAATCTAAAACCCTTAATCAATGACTTTGTGTCTTATTATTTTTACAAAAAGTGTTGTAAGCTGAAATCTAAAGACAAGCTTGTATAGTTAAGGGCCACTGCAGTTTGTATCAGTTATTCTCAATCAAAGAAATTGGAAACACCTATTCAGATTCTACTTCTTTCTCTCTTGTCTCTAGCTTTACAATTCAGATATTAATTGCACATGACCACTAAAACTAAAAGTTTCTCTGGCCCAGAAATATGTAGCTTTTTATGTGTTTGTGAAAATGCCTAGCAAAGATGTACAATTCACTAAAAACCTAGAAAAGCAGATACAAATAGAATTTTATCATATAAAAAATTGAATTGGTAAGGAAACCCGTTTGTCATAGCATGTCAGAATAGAAATCAATAATCAACAATTAGCAAAATGGCACGACAATTTGAAACATAAACGCATAGAAATTAAATCTTACTCGTTTGAGAGAGAGAGAGAGAGAGAGAGAGAGAGAGAGTTTGGTGGCGGCTGCCGAGACCGAAGAGACTGAGTAAAAGAGAAATGAGAAGTTAGGAACGAAATGCCGCTTCAGCAAAGTTGCCACATGCTGGTTTCTCCAGAGTTTATCTAGAGAGAGAGAGAGAGAGAGAGAGACCAAAGCTAGTGAGAGGGTTCAGACCAAAAAAAAAAAAGCTAGTGAGAGGGGTTTTGTTTTGTTTTTTATTTTTTATTTTAGGGTTATTTGCAGTAATGGTCTCTCAATTATACCCGAAGTTATATTTTGGTCACTAAATTCAATTATTAGTTACAGAGGTCACTCAAGCAGATGTTTTGTTGCACCAGTAGTCCTTTCGTCAAGTCTGTCTAACGTGGTGTCAATTTCATGGGCAAATTTGTCTTTTCAAGTCTACAATGTCCAACCTCCCATCTAAAGTAACTTCCCTCCGAAAAATGTTTCTGGCGCCAAATAAATCCCCAATTCCCATTTATATTCAAAGAAATCCACATAAAAACAATAGATGTGTTGAAATTTTTGGAAATTTGGGAAGGCCACACAGTGCATGAGCAAAAATGTCGCGGATTTCTTATTCATCAACAAATCAAAGCCCTAGTGCAAGGAAGCTATGCAAGTGCGAGGAATATATCAAAACCTAAACTTCATGGACTGATTTAAATCCTGGAAGAACATTTGAGGCTTGTGAGATGAGTCGAGTAAATTAATATGTGAAATTTTATTTTGTTGCTTGATGGGTTTAGCTTTGATGTGAGAAAACATACTTTGCAGAGAAATAGAGGAAATGGGCATCGTTGGGAGTGGTTGGACGCACTGACCTGTGCAAGAGGAAAAGAACTAATTCATGGGTTGCTGAGAAGAATGAGAGTAATGGAAGAGGGCCTAAAGTTAATAGAAGAACAGAAGAACAGAAGAAAGAAGTTGAAGATAAGCTGAAAATGATAGAGAGAGAAAAGAAGGAATTGGAGTACAAAGTTGGAGAATTAGGCAAGCAGAAAAGACTATTGGAAAGGAAAAGAATAGGCCAATGACCAAGAGAGAATCATATTTGGGGGGTTTCATTTCTGTCATTGGGTCTTGGGTTTTTGGTGATTATGATGATGCCCTGTATCTTGAGCAATTGGTTGATATTTCCTGGTGGAAACTCTGAAAAGCTTATGATCAATTAGGTGGAAATGTAACCGATATGTAGTTCATTTTGCAATGAAATTTCAGTTTGAGTTTGGTGGACATATTGGTGTTGGTGTATTCAATTTGTTTCCATTTTGTTGATGAGAGGGCATGAGTGGATAATTGTGATATGAACAAATATAGAAATGTTGGACGTATAGTAGTGGGTGTCGATCAAGAGGTGTGAGAAATATAAAACAATTTATCCAGCATATATAAAACCCAGTTACAAATTCCAAAATGTACCAAATCAGGTTCCAAGTGAAACAGAAGCATAAAGATAGATGAACATAAACCCAGTTCAGGTTCCAAAATGTACCAAATACAAAACCTCCCTTACGAAACAACCACACTAAGTTCCAGCCCAGAGACTCAAAAAACACATCCAATAAACCATTCATAAAACACATCTAACATGTTGACAAAACACATCCAACTACTTCAAAAAAGACATCCTCCTAGTTCTCTTCAAAACATCTATGGTCTAAGCTTAATGGCAGAAGACTTGAATCTCTTGGCAGGATACTTGAATCTCTTTATGTCAGCAATGTTGGGTGGTTGTGATGATGATGATGTAGCTCCAGTGTAAAAGAGTGGTTGTGATGATGATGATGATGAGAGTGATTGTGATGATGATGGCTTGTTTGGCATTTCTGTTGTCCCATTTCCAACCTAAAATAAAATGGAACCATATTAACTAACCAAAGTACATGAATTAAATTTGAACCAAATTAACCAACCAAAGTAGCATGATAGAGTTGTCACTTACATTTCCTCTTCCATTTGGCATTTGTCCTCTTTCATTTCCTTTCCCTCTTCCTGTAGTAGTACCTCTACCTCTCCTTTTACCTCTAGATGGGTTAGGCTGATTAGGCTGGGCCTAAAAAACTAAAATAAATTAAACAATAACAAAAAGAAGGGTCAAATGTTCCTTGGTTGGGCCTAAAGAACAAAAAGAAATTAAACTACAGAGATTGTAACTTAAATACCTGAGCTGCCCCTTGGACTGTAGAAGAGCCAAATGTTCCTTGGTTGGGTTAATTAGGAAGAGCCTACAATAACAAAAACAAAAAACTAATTAAAGTAAATAATAAAAAAATAAAATTAAACTAAAGAAAATATAACACAAATACATGTGCTGCCCCTTGGTTGGCTTGCCGTGTCTTATTATGTCCCTCATGGCCACAAATAGAGCATCTTATCTTTACATAAATCCTTCTCAACTTAGTAGATGATGGATTATAATATGGGGGCAAAGGGTTTGGAGGAACTGGAGCAGGTACTTCAACCCCAGCTGGTTCTTTGTTCCTTAATTTCTTGGGTTTTTTAGGCTGCTTCTTATATGGAGGAGGTTTAATTGAAGGCCAATTAGTTCTCTGCCACTGGTCCATAGATCGTATTGGGTGTACTATAGGTTCATATGAACTCAAGTAGACTTCTTTCTTATCAGACCTTTTTGCTTGTCACTAATAAACACCCAAGCTTTCCCATTCTCAATTTTTAAGTCTTCAATCAAAAGTTCAAGGAACCAAATCCAACTACTTTTTGATTCCACCTCTACAACAACATAAGTAACTGGGTACATTCCATTATTCCCATCAACACCAACGACTGTTAAAACTTGCCATGTGTAAGGTCCCTTTAAATGGCATCCATCTATACCAACAAGAGGTTTACATCCTGCCAAAAATCACTTTTTACAAGCTTCCAAACATACATAAATTCTTTCAAACACAGGTACATCACCCTTCATCTAATTCTTTATAATCACAGTGCTGTCTTTGTTAGCCTTCTTCAACTCTTCTGCATAGTCCCATAACCTCGCGTATTGCTCCACATAGCTTCCTTCAATGATAACCTTGGACAAGCTTTTTGCTTTATAAATCTGATGCCTTGAAACATTCATATGGTACTTTTCCAATACCTCAGATTGGAATGCCTCCACATCCCACTTAGGATTTTTCCTAATCTTGTCAGCAAACCTTGTTGACAGCCACCTTGAATTAGTATATTTAAGTTTGTCTACTCTAGTACACTTGTGCTCTAAGGAGAGAGTCTTTATGGCAAATGTATGCTCATCTATGTCTATCTTGGAAGCAAACAGAATAAAAGGGCATCTCGTGTAACCTACACACTTTGCTTGAATCATTTATTCTTCACCAATTTAACATTCCTCCCTTGCACAATTGCATACTCCCTAATAGCTTCCTTGAGTTCATCCTTATTGGCAAATTGCATTCCAATTCTAAACTCTGGATTTCTCAAATCAGTTTCTTTCCTAAACTGTTTAAAATTTGGTATCTTCCATTTCCTCTTGCTTATCTTTTTTTGACAATCTTCCTCACCATCAGAGCTATCACCATCAGAAGGAAGTCAATCACTATCTTCATCATCATCTAATATCTCCCTTGTGGCTTCATTAAGAGGCATTTCATTCATCTCTTCAAAACATTGTGCATATTTAACATTTGGTGCATCGTGAATATCTTGTGCTCTTGATGCAGCCTCTTAATTACCATTTTCTTCTTCACTTAATTCATATTCACTATCAACAATAACATCCTCTTTTTCCTGCTCTTCCTCTTCATTTCCAACATCTTCACTATGCCGTTCTTGCTCTTCATCTTCACTCTCTAGCTCGTTGTTATGAGTAGGATCATAGTAATACAACACCAATACCTGATCTGATGAAATGCTCCTAACCAACCTTGGAATACAACTATCATTTACAACCTCATTCACAACATGCTGACCACTTTTTGCAAGCCCCTTATAGTAAACTTTTAAGTTTGTAACCATTTGTGTTATATCAACTTTGTAGCCAAGATCTATCCCAATTTTCTTTAAATCCAATAATGACATATAATCATGAATACAATTATCAACATAGCATACTTTGCCTCCCTTATACACGTCATTCTCCAACAGACCAAAGTGGTGGAGTTCAAGAGTACACAACTCTGCTTTATCTACCACATTACACAAAGGCATGCTTACATTTTTTTCCATGACAATGAAGATAAAGTAAACAATGAAGACAAAGTAAGTGCAGGCATGTGCAAGTGTGAAATCACTTCCATGACAAACCGATAAAAATGGGACCATAGACAATAATAAAGACTCCAACTTACATTTTTTTCAACCTTAAAGCCAAAACTTCATTGTCAACAAAAGGACCACACATTTGCAAACAGAATATGAACCAATATAAAATGAAGAAGGAATATTTAGGTTATAGTAACTTACCATACTTGGGGGGTTCTCCAGACCATTGAAAAATTGTCTCCATTTGAAGAAGCCTCCACACACAGTAGACCAGCATTTTTCTCTGTGATTTTCACAAAATTGAAATCCTAGATCTGTACTTTATCGTTTTTTTTTAAATTAAAAAAAAAACTCAAAATCCTTCGCTACTTAGTACATTAAAGTATAATGCTGAGATAATGTTCCAAAATCCCCCAAACATCGAAGTCAAATACCTTCGATTTGAAAACCCTACACTTTCACGATTTTTCCCTTTTGCTCAGACTGCCATTTCTGTGCAACTGTCGTTCTCTTCAAAAGAAAAAGATTCGTTTTAATTAACTGAAAAGTCAGATTTGCCCATCAAGAATTTGTAAGATGCTTGCCACATCATCATTTTAAACGGAAAAAGTCACAGACTTGATGGAAGGAGTACTGGTGCAACAAAACACCTACTTGAATGATCTTTGTAACTAATAATTGAATTCAGTGATCAAAATGTAACTTCGGATATAGTTGAGGGACCATTGCTGCGAATAACCCTATTTCTAATGAGTTAATAGAAAATATAATGAAATGTTGATGATTTAGACGGCATAGGTAATATTGAGAATAAAATTTCATTCAAGCCCTTAATTTACTAAAAAAAAGGTCATTGGGTAAATTGATAATTATGTACAAGTTCAGGGGGCAATTCGGCAGTTTACCCTAATTCAATATGAGGTCTCTCAATTCTGAGACTGATTTATAGTTTTTCTCTGCCTATGCACTGGGAGCATATAAGCATGGGAATATCTAATATTTAAGTTTCAGATTTCGCCATTAAAATGTTTTGGTAGCTTCTCATTATATCGAGGCTGTTCTACACAAATGGAGGTGATGCCATTTTGGTGTAAGTATCAAATGGCATTCATTTTCTTTGGAAATGGCCACAGGATCTTAAATCCAGTGGAGTGGTAAAGAATGACATGCTTTATAATTCTTTCCTATTAGATTTCTCCTCACTTTCCTTTCGAATTGAAACCGAAGCGACAGTTGGTCATTTGATTATGATGATATTGATTGAATGCAGGCAACTCCCAAGGTTCACCCTAATTTATGGAAACCAAGGAGTAGCTTAGGGCTGATGAACAATGACCTTCCCAGCACCAACCCTGAAGACTCTATGTCCTGCTTTGATTTGTCCAAGAATGATTCATATCTCATATCAGCAACAGGAGGGATGATCTCCATTTTTGACATGACAACATTTAAGGTAAACCCAACACAAATAGTATTCTTGAAATTTTCTATTCCCAGCCAAAACTTCCCAAAACTTGTTTGTCAATATGCTTAGGTTTTATTTGCAAATTTCTCATGATCTAACTCATTGTACTCATAAAAATTTGTTGTGTAAAAATGCAGACGATGAAGAAAGTCATGCCACCGCCACCTGCGGCAACATGTCTTGCTTTTCACTCCCGGGATGACGTTATGGACAATTCCACCAATATTATATGTGTTGTCGCATAAGGAACTTGTTGTGTCAAACTTTTCACATGGGCACTCTACCATCCTCGCCAAAACAAAACTGAGCATGGCACATCATTGTGCAGTGGTGTTTTTGTATGCCTTGCAAATTCTCCTTTGCATAGAGAAAACGAACCATCATTGTAACCAGCAGAGGGGATGAAAGATCAAGAGTCCTGAAAATTCCAAGAAACAGATCTCCTTGTAGAAAGGCCCTACTGCTGAAGCTGCAAAATGCATACATCATGTGATTAACTTGCATATCAGATGTAAATATCAAACAATTTGGCATGTAAGGCAAGGCAAAAAGTAAATGAAATCAGCAAAAGAAAATGTCCATGGATGCATCTAACAAAACATTAGCTTATTTGTTTTGGTTGTCAAATGGCTGCAGCATTCCTAAGTTATTACATACATTTGGCTCTTTACAGATCAAGTCAGTATTAAAATTCCATTACTGATTTCGGTTCATCATCATATCACATTAATCCCCCCAGTTTTAACTCAAAGTTTATCCAAATGGATCCCAAAATCTGCTTCAAATATTTGTTTTGTAGACAAGTTCATATAATTCCAAATGTATATACGTGTATAAAATACCTATGTAATTTGAATATGAACTGTATGCCATACGACTAATTGCAGTGAAAAGCCAATCAATTGATTCTGATGATATTGATTGAATGCAGGCAACTCCCAAGGTTCACCCTAATTTATGGAAACCAAGGAGTGGCTTAGAGCTGATGAACCCTTCCCAGCACCAACCCTGAAGAAGAGGTTATGTCCTGCTTCTCTTTGATTTGTCCAACCCTGGAAACCAAGATTCACCCCTCCCTCCTTTCCTCACTGTTTACAATGGCATCCGCACAATAATAACGTCCGAACGTCCGCATAGGAGAATAACTGATATGTATATATATATATATATATATAAAAGTAGAGAATCTGTGGTGTTCCTGATTCTTCCATGGTGCTATAGTTGCGCAAACTCAAATTGACCATGTTTGATTTTGCCTTATCCACAATCAAATAATCAGAAGGTTTGAGAAATGGTGCAAAACAATTGTTGATTTATCAAATGTCCATGATCCAACTCAGGTGGCATTGGGGTTGGATGGGGAAGAGGTAGAGCCCAGGTTCAAGTCTTGTTGTAAGCTAAGTAATTGATTTACTGATTGGGTTTAGGTACTTCTTATCTGATAATTGTAACAGAACTCGTTTTAGATTGATGCTATTTTGAGATGGTCTGAAACTTTTACTTTGGAATTCAACAAATTAGTGACTTCAATTGATGCAAACAACTAGATAATCCTAAGTTATCCAAATTTCAATATTAATCAGAAAAGGAATGATGTGAATGATTTTCTTTCGTTTTTTCTGGAATATGGAAACACTGCAAACTGAAAGCACACCAGAGGGGCACTCCTTGATAATTACTGATGTTCGATTTAGACCAAATTCAACTCAGTTGGCAACTTCTTCATTTGACACAAGGACCTGTCTCTTTTTACTTCTGCTTTCATTATTTTATAGCTTCTACTTCTGTAAAAATGCTCCCTGATTTGCTTCAATTATATTTAATATTTCTTAGGATGTCTGGAAATAGAAACATATCCCTGGCATGAGACTAGCTTTCTTTCTTATAGGACCCATAAATTGCTTTCAGCAGAAAAGCTGAAAGGTGATCAACTTAAAAACAGCTGCAAACATGCAACAAGCTAGGCAGTATACACTTTCAGTAAGCAGAAGCAAACATTCTGCACAGCATATCTCATGTTAATTACTTATGAAAACTAGACAAAACAACAACTATATAACAAAAACTCATCCTAAGAACAACAAACAACAAACACCACACACACACACACACACAGCAAATATCAAATTCCAAAAGACTGAATAAGCAAACATACATGGCAAACAATGACCCAAAACGCTGTCCAAGTGTGGCACCAGCACCAATAAAACCAAATAATCTTGAACCTGACTGAATACAGAACAAGTTAAATGCGTGACAAAAGAATTTTAAATTCGTGTGACAGGATACATACCTCACTGTCCATAACATCAATTACTCGAGCCCAAGTTGAAGAAATTGTTATTAGATTATACAATTTCTGATAAATACAATTTCTTTTTCAATCATCAGAAAGAGTTTCTAATACTTTAAAAAAAAAGAAGAAAAAAAAAAGGTGATTTCGATATATTCATACCCAGAGGAGCAATCCAATCTTGACATAGACATTGAACCAACCAGGGTTCTCCCACCCTATGGAATATGCACTACTGTCTTGGTCATTTACTCAAGTGGAGGACATATTGACCAAAACCCTATTTTATCAGGAACTTAAGAACAGAGATATACAGAGGACAATTAGATTGGAGAAATTAAAATGCATGCACAGGTAAACAATACAGATGAACCTCTATTTTCCCAGGCAAGCATGTTTTGTGATGGAAGTGCAAAAAATGTCTTATGAGCTATTTTTCACGTCTTGAATTAAACAGCCACTATCAGGCAAAACAGCATTGCTTATTTTTGGATAGCGAAAACAACATATAATGCAAAAGAAAAGCACAAAACAAGTCCAAAAAGTACTAATCAGATGAGTTAGCCCTCCAATCGACAGGCCGCCATGCCTTTTCTTTTGTTGTCATTTAAAAACATTGGAAATTTGGGTAGTTGAGATTGCCTTGAAAAAATTAATCTGAAAAGAAAAAAAAAATCTAGACTTTTGAGATCATGTTGAAGAAAAAAACTGAAACTAGTATTAACTTAGCATAACATAATACACACATTATCATCACCTTCTTCAATCCTTACCTGGACTAGTGCAAGTGAAGGCATTCTCTAACTTATCAACATCCATCTCAATACCACAATACTCACCTACCAAGCGGTATGTTACACTATCTTTCCCCCTGACGCGTTCCCTGCCAAGAAAGAAATAAAGAACAAATTTCATTCAAAATATTAGGTACCTTGATTGATTTATTTACTTATGAACAATTTAGCCAATCACGTTCTGCAGTTATGGAGCAGTTGATGCAAATGAGATAATGGTTGATGCAAAAAGAGATGATTCCTCTTGCCCAGACCAGATTACTCTTATTAACTCATTGCTATTCCGAGTGAGGTGCATGATCCCAAGTGAACGGGAACAGGAAGGTCAACGAGCCATGCATACGGGAGGAGGGCTCTTTTGTCTATCTTTCGTTTTGGCTGCAAGTTTGCAACTGGAAGGTGTTCCTTCTTCGAGGTATAGGCTGGCCGCAAGATGTCCAAATTTTCCTTCTCAAACCCTAAGTCTAACCCGAGCTGTCTCCTCTCTCTCGCTCAGACATAACCCGCGACCTATCTTCTCCTTCAATCCTCATCTCTCTCTCACACACATAGCATCATCATCATCTCATTTTTATAGTCAGACTCGCCCAGACACTCCCAGGCCGCCTAGGCGGGCGCCCAGAGCCTAGGTGCCGTCTAGGCCCATTTTTGGAACATATAGACTATGACAACAAGCAAAGCCCGACTATGTGTTTCAATGTCTGTATATTCTCCAAGTCTGATTCAGTCAGGATTTCCAACTACTCATCCAACTTAGGCCAACTCAGATTCCTAACAATTACATACTACTTTTACATGCTAAAATCTCTATTGCCTCCTCTAGTAATAACTTTTCGACCACATCTTTCTCTTTTCAGGATGCAAAACACATAATCAAACGCCAGTTTTCTTATAGCGGCCATCAGAAATTGAAGCGAGTTCATAATTTAGCTAACCATAAAACCCCTCTGGGCAGCCGCCTAGGCGGCCGCCTAGCGCCTAGGCGCCACCTAGGCCGATTTTTCAAACACTGGCTGGTTAAATGAGCAGGCACTCTGAAACGAAATGGCTTGATAACAATGTTGAAGCCGTAGCTTAACATGTTTGGTCAGCAGTGTCCTTCCGCCTAGGCTGATTTTTCGAACACTGCCTGAATTACATCAATGCTTTAACAGTTTATTAGCCACACCTACTTATGTTGTGTTTCTGAGACATCATGGTGATCAGTGGCAGAAAGACTACCCTCTTTAGCCAACCTGGGACACTTTTGAAGCTTCTCTCTTTTATAGTGGCGTCATGCTGTTTGCAAAACACAAGCTGCCCTTGGTTCCATTGCTGCAAACCAAAGCTGTTACTGGCGGACCTATTAAGGCTCAAGGAGGTGCAGCTGCACCTCCCCTCGCAGGAAAATCACTTGCAGCTGCAACTGAGGCTGCCTGAGACGCAGTTCTTGTGAAGAAGATGACCACTGCGCCCAGGTTTTCTTCCTGATAATACCAAAATGAAACGACGCAGTTTTGAATTTGGGGAATGAAATCCTTTTAGTGAAACGGTGTGTTTTGTGACTTGAAAACATTTCAGATTTCTTATTAATGAAATCCTTTTAACGAATTCCTATTATATCCCCGTCAATTCAAGCCCAAATTGGACTTGCTGAGTTGACATCCCCGTGACATTTGATTCAAAGCCTGGTGAGTTTTGTGATTGTATCAAAATTTATATATGGTATTACTTTCTTTAGTTTTTTTTACTCTCTTTTTTTTTGCCACTTCTTTAGTTTAATAATATGTTATGAAGTAATATCTTAGCCTTTTTTAAATTACTTTGACTAGTAATATCATAGACCTATGCCGGCCAAAATTCATCAGGAGAAGTCTCATCCGGCAAATGTTTGCCAACTTAGGTCTCTGCCGACAAAATCATTCGTCGGGAGATTTTTTTTATTTTATTTGAAATTAGTTTCTTTACTTCTTTTTTTGCCAACTATTTTTGTTTAATATATGTAATTAAGTAAGATCTTAGCCTTTTTTAATTACTTTAATTAATAATTATTATTTAGTTAAAATTTAAATATTTAAATGATTTCATAAATTACTTAAATATTCGAATATATTTAAGGAAATATGACACTATAAATCCATATTTTTGCTACACATAAATCCATATTTTTTATTGTTGGTGATATATTAAAAGAGTGTAGCCGCACGGCTATACACTAAAATATTCTATTTTAAAGGTCTAGCCGCGTGGCTATACTATTTAAAAATAATATTCTAAACGTATAGCCACACGGATATACGCTTCAAACGTATAAAATTAGTTTCTTTACTTTTGTTTTATGGCAACCTTCTGTAATTTAATTTATGTAATTAAATAAAATGTTAGTCTTTTTTAATTACTTTAATTAGTTATTACATTTTAATTATTGTTTCTTTAGTGAATATTTAAATATTTTACTGATTTAACAAATTACTTAATAAATAGTAATTAATTATTTAAAAGTA